TGAGCGAAAAACTCTGATTGCTTCATTTAAAAAAAAATGTTTTTGTACTTTTTCAATCTATACCCACATGAAGTTTCCTCTTTATATGTATAGAGCAAGGGGATTGTAATAGCAGCATTTACACCAGATCAACTTTAAATATGTGTTCAGTATGTTGAAAGCAAATACTGGTGCCTTTGAGGGAAAGGCTGTCCATGCCCATCAGCCCTTGCTTTTGGGAAGTTGGCAGAAGCCTGCAGCCCAAACTCCTACATTCCTTGGGAGAAGATGGTGATCTGCTATGCATTAGAATCAGGAGGGCTGACTATATATGTGTGGGTCAGACAGAGAAGGCTTGAAAGTTGCCTTTTTCCAATGTATATTTTATATTTAAATGGAGGGGCCACAAATTGGAGTGTATGTGTTTTAACGTTTTAATGTCTTCTTTTAACTTTTTTTTTTTAATTTGATTTATATGCCGCCCTTCTCCAGAGACTCAGGGTGGCTTACAATGTGTTAAGCAATAGCCTTCATACTTTTGTATATTTATACAAAGTCAGCTTATTGCCCCAACAAACTGGGTCCTCATTTAACCTACCTTAGAAAGGATGGAAGGCTGAGTCAGCCTTGAGCCTGGTAAGTTTCGAACCTGCAGTAATTGCAGGCAGCTGTGTTAATAACAGGGTGCATTAAACCACTGTACTACCAAGGCTCATCAACTTTTGTATGGGATATTGTTGCTTTATTTTATTTTCTGTTGTAAGCTGCCCAGAATCCCTTGGGAGTTGGGCGGCATAGAAATGCGACAAAATAAATAAATAAATAAATTCATCAAGAGGTGATATAGATTTATCAGTGTGGATTTTATAGAATTTAAGGATTTAAGAGGTGGCTTGGGGAGTAGAAACCTGGGATAGGGAGGGAAGGGAATTCCTGATTTTCTGTAGAATGTGTTTAATTCCTGAGCCGATTAAAGGCTTGGTTTTGTCCACTCTGGACTCACACAACATTTCTGTTCTCCCTTTCCCCAAAAGAGGTTCTCCTTCTCCTTGTGGCATCAGCTATTTCTTGATTAAAATCTTTGCCATTGCATTTTTAATGCCTGCTTTAAAAAAAAAAAACTTTGTTTCAGTTAAGAATTTAATATCTCATCTTTTTATAATTGTGATGATAATTATAATTTGTGTCAGAAGAAGTGACTTAATTCTTGAACTGCTGGCATCATTTGTTTCATCTTTTATTTCAATGATGGTTTGCAGAATATACTATAAAAGCCTTGTTTATGCATTATGGCTTGTTCAGCCCTAAATTTATAAGCCATAGTGGATGGTTAGTTTATCAGATGAGTTAAAATTCCAAATAAGCCAACCTTACAGCTTAGTATAATGAAGTTACGCTTTACTTAAACTGTTCAATGCTTGTATAGATATGGGTTTGAAGGAGAACGAGAGAAAAAACTAAAAGTTTTGGGAAGTTGTTGGGTATTAATGTAAGTTCCTTTTTGTCAGGAGGACACAGCTTCCTTCAGTTTAAGCATCACAGTAACCCCTCCCCCTTCGAAATGCTGTATCTAAAAGCAGACAGGAAAGGACCCATTTTACAGACAATTCAGGCATTTTAATGCAATGTTTCTCAACCATGACACCTTGAAGATGTGTGGACTTCAACTTCCAGTATATATATTCAGGAGCACTTTTCTTGCTTGAGGTCCCTTGACTTCAGATTTAACTGCTTTGTAAGCTGCCACTTCTGGGTTAATAAGAAGACATCTTCATCCATTTTACAAAGTAGGAATTGTGCAGTGGTATGATGTCTTTCTTTTACTTATTTGACATTCCATGTATGAATTTGGAGAATGTATGTATGTATGAAACTTTTTGTTGAGAGAAATTCAGCCTCTAAGCCTCCAGGTGGACAGAGGTGGACTTCCTTCTGAGGAACCCAACTCTATGTGACATTTTTTTTCAAGATGGAAAAAGAGGCCCAAGAAAGGTCTGTGTCAAAAGGGCCTGATGGACCAGGAAGAAACACTGTTTCAATACATTCTAGTAGTGCTCCAGATCTGTTCCAGTGGGCCATATCAACAGAGGAAGGGATTCCTTACAGCCTCAAAGGTCAGTGGCAAGAATATTTGAAAACAGTCCCACATCCAATCTCAGGATGGGAAGCCTCACAGTTGCCAGATCTGACCTTGTGGGATGACCTGACTATCTTTGATCATGTAGTTGGTGCCTGTCAGTGGCCTCAAGAAGAGGTGAGCAACCTCCTGCCCACTCTTAGGGCTGAAACCCAGCAGATCTTAAGTAATCTGAATGCCAAAGGGGACAGTAGGAGGATTAAAAAACTTCCATGAGCAACAATTCAAGTACCACTGAGATTCAGTGGCAGTGCTTCTGCCACTTCTGTTATCAGCAGGCCGAGGGACCCCGTGAGGTCTGTAGCCAGTTGCGGGAACTCTGCCACTGCTGGATGGAACTAGAGAGCCACACAAAGGAACAGATCCTGGAGCTGTTAATTCTGGAGCAGTTTCTGACAGTTTTGCCAAAGAGAATCCAAAGCCAGGTCTGAGAACGGGGTCCAGAGACTTGTACCCAGGCTGTTGCCTTGGCAGAGGGGTTTCTTTTGCACCAGCAGGAGAATTTGGAAAGTGAGCCACAGGTGAGGAGATTTATTGTATAAATTGTGTAGAAAACAGGGGTAATCTATACTTCAGAGAGATAAAATACCAATTATGTTGCATAAAAAGCCAACTCATGTTAGCAGCAAACATGTATACAACTTTCAGTTTGTGATGGCTGAGCTCACACAATAAGCTAAATCTCAAGATGGATTAACAGTATAAAATTACAGGTAATCTTTGATTTATGACCACAATGGAGGCGATAATTTATGTTGTTAAGCAAGGCAGTTGCTAAGTGAGTCATGCCAATTTTATAACTTTTTTTGTCATGGTTGTTAAGCAAATCACAGCAATTGTTAAGTGAATCATCTGGTTATTAAGTGAATCTGGCTTTCCCCATTAACTTTGCTTGTCAGAAGCTGGCTGGGAAGGTAGCAAGTGGTGATCCTATGACCCCAGGACATTACAACTGTTATAAATATATGTTAGTTGCCAAGCACCCGTATTTTGATCATATAACCATGAATATGTTGTATCAGTAGTAATTGCGAGGACCAGTCATAAGTCACCTTTTTCAGTGTGATTGCAACTTTGAATGGTTACTGAACGAATTATTGTAAGTCAAAGACTACCTATACTGAGTTCATGTACAGCTATGCTCAAACTAACCTTATGATGACTTAATGGATGCTAAGGCAATGATTAGGATGCCAGAATATGCAAAGCTTATGAACCTTACCCATTTTTAGTGCATTGTTCCAAACCAAAAACTTATTTATCCAGGCAGGAGTGTTCACACACATACACACACACACACACACACACACACACACACACGAAAGCTGTCCTCCATATTGGTCTTGTGAATCATATTATGCAAACAATCTGTAGAACATTTTGTATAGCAGGTTGTTCAATCATATTAGTCTGTGGGGTTGCTAAGAGTTGACACCAATTTATTGACACACCATCATGGAATGCTTCCCCACTATCATCACTTGTACACATAGACCACATTCTGAAGTGTTAAGCTTCAGAAACAATTACATAGTTGAGTTTTTTCAGAGAACCTCAGCTTTCCTATTCCCCATGTTTGGAACCTTCTGGGTTTCAACATGTAACTCTTCTAACTACAAGAAACCTCTTGAAGAAACAAGGTGAGAAAAGACTACTGCCTTTACCTTTGGTGTTAGCATATTTGGCCATGGGGCACATTGATGTGCGTATTGCTTAATGCAAATTAACCAAGGGAAGTCTGTTTTTAGACATGGTGCACTGAACTCTGCAGATCCCTTTGGAGTTATGCAAGAGGAATTATAATTCAGTCTAGCTATTCAGAAGCACACACACAGCATTCCATACTATTTTCTCAGTAGCAATGAGATTCAAGTCTCATTTCCTTTTGCTCTCATAATGCTTACTAGAATCAATGACAAAAATCTTCTGTAGAACAGCTGGGAGGAAAAGAAGGTTGAATCTTCATTTCCAGCGATCCTTAACAAAACTGTGATTTTTGGCACTCACTTGAAAGTGCCCCCAAAATAGATAGGTCTCCTGGGATTTGAGAGCAGGTAGATTATCTAACAACATTTTTCTTGGTGGCTCTTGTACATCCTGTTCTACCTGAAGATTTATATATTTTAATGGGAAGCAATGCAGTCCCTCCATACTATTTCTACTGTAATTAGTCATGCATACCATGATGCCTCAGAATGCCTGTTATGTATTTTCAAAATTCCAAATACCCAGATGAAAAATTCCAAATAGGACCAGAAAGTTTGAAACTTTGGGCCTAGCCTTGCAGTCTAATCATGAAGATTTTTTTGGACATCAGGTTGGGCAACTTGCAGGCACAAGCAGTAGCCTCTGGTGCCATGATAGCAGCAAAAAATTCCAGCTGATTTTTTAAGAAGATGGTGTAAAGCTTAAGAAAAAAAATTAAGTATGCCAAGACTCCATAGGATTGTAGTACAATAAGTACCATTGGGGTGGATATCTATTATTTTATGTATATATAGCCTTAAAAAGTAGGAAAGGGGAACAAAATCCTAACTCTTCTGAAATCATTATGTTACTTTCCTTTACCTTGTGACCCACTTTTGATCTCCTCCCCTCCGAAAAGGACAAAAACCCTTGATGCTTTGACCAAATATGTAAAACTTAAGGTTAATGCCAATGAGTTTGCAGGTGTTAGTCCCTTCATTACTGCCCATATACAAAATGTTCAGAAACACCTAAACAATGTTCTGTATCATAGCTAATGTTTTAATGCATGACTTCTTATCTGCAGCTGTTTTCATTTCTGTTGGCTTTATCTGTTGGTATGATATCATTTTGCTAAAAATTGTTTTTGGAAAAAAGGGCTTGGATATTAACTTACAGTGTCATTTCAGGAGTCTGACTCATTTCAAGAGGCAGCTGTAAATCTCTCCGAAGGCCAGCAGGCTGTGTCAGGTGCCAGACAAAGGCTTCTTGCCAAGGAAGTCAAGAAACATGATAATGGGAAAGCAAGCTTGTTAGGTAAGCCTTTAATTTGCAAGTGGTGATAGTCTTGTTCTATTCAGCTCAATGTAAGGTCATATGGTCAGGCCATGGATTATTCTAGATTGCAATATTCTGAAAAGGACATTGAAAATGCTGGAAATCAGGCCAGCTTCACTCTTGAGGTGTCCCTTTCATACTTTGGATGGGCCTTTCTATAAAAGTTCACTCTCAAAACATTTTGAAATTACATTTTGCAAATTCCTAGCTGTATTTCAAAAGAAGAGGATATCTACAGCAAAGTTAGAAATTGCAACCTGTGAAACCCTTTTTGGTAACTCCTGGTATCGTACACTTCTGACTTTTGCTTTTTCTCTGGGTTGGAGCAAAAAGATACCCAAGTAAGTCCAAAGTAGGAAAACTAAATTAAAATCCCAGCCTGTGCTATAAGCATCATATAAGGTAAGATTATATTTGAATCAAACTTGATACCTAGTAAACATCATGCACTTAGTTGTGTATTTTTTGAAATGATACAGAATAGGTTGACACTGCCTTTTTACAAGGCTTGTTTTTACATTTAGCCTATGGTGTGGGGATTTCTCAATTTTCCATCCAAATAATATAGGTAATCCTTAATTTATGACCAAAATGGAGCCCGACATATTCATTGATAGACAAGACAGTTGTTAAGTGAGTTTTGCCCCATTTTAACACCTTTCTTGCAATAGCTATTAACTGATTCACTGCAGTTGTTAAGTTAGTAACACAATTGTTAAGTGAATCTGGCCTCCGCATTGACTTTGCTTGTCAAAAGGTTGCAAAAGGTGATTACGTGACCCTACCATCATAAATACATCCAGTTGCCAAGCATCCAAATTTTGATCATGCGACTATGGGAATGTTGCAATGGTCATAAATGTAAAAAACATTCATAAGTCATTTTTTTCCATACTGTTGTAACATTGTAAGATCAGCTAAGGTCAGCTAGTTGCTGATAGCCATCCATGTATAAAAAGGAGGCAAACCTTCCAATTCTACATGTTGTCCTGCCAGTTGCAGCCTCTGATCCTCCATTACCCCCAAAATACCAAGTTTTATAGTTCCTAAGCACCAAAAAGTTATTATTCTCTGCTGTACAACATGTAGTCTGGCTTATCTTTGGAATCTTCTAAGCAACTCATTTAGACTAAACTGTAAGATCCCGTGTTACATAGGTGTGGAATATCCAAAGATGGTGTGGGTAGAAAATAACTTTTAACAGATTGGGATATCTTTTCAGTGTTTTCAAAATCTTGATCACATCAGTGCATTTAGTAATAACGTCTGAAATTCTTTCTGCACTATCTCATAGGTTCCAGAGTCACAAACAGAGGAGCAGGAGCTATTCAGAATCAAGAGATCAAAGACGAGGGGACACATAGTACTTTGCAAGGGACTCTCAAAAAGAAGAAACCCCACAACTGTATTGACTGTAGGAAATGTTTTGTGAGGCTATCAGACTTGGCAAAACATGACAATACACAGGTGCCAAGCCTTTTCACTGCATGGAATGTGGGATAAGATTTAGTCAATTGTCCCACCTGACTAGACATCAGAAAATTCACACAGGGGAAAAACCACACACATGCACTGAATGTGGTGCATCATTTGGCCAGGGAGCATCGCTGGTTAGTCATCAGAGAGTCCACTCTGGAGAACAGCCTTATCATTGTTCTAATTGCCAACAGTACTTCAGCCATCAGTCAGCACTTAAAGTGCATGAACGTATCCACATGGGCCAGAAACCTTATATCTGCCTAGAATGTGGGAAAAGATTTGTTTCTTGTTCTACCCTCAAAATACACAAACGGATCCATACAGGAGAAAAACCATTTTCCTGTGCTGAGTGTGGGAAACGATTGATGCAGTGTTCTAACCTGATTTCATACCAACGTACACACTCTGGGGAAAAAAAGAAGATTCAGTTATCCATCGGACCTCACCCGGCACCATAAAATTCACACGGGAGAAAAACCATTTCCTTGTGATGAGTGTGAGAGGAGATTCACTAGGTTTTCAGATATCCTTATACATCGGAGAATCCATATTGGGGAGCGCCGATATCGCTGCCTAGAATGTGGGAGGAAATTCCGTCAGAAAAGTGCATTGGTAACACACCAGAGAATCCACATGAAAGAGACAGCAGCAGGAAATATCAAACATTCACACAAAAATAATGAATTGGAAATCTGCGACACCGAAGAAAAGGCATGCATTCCAGAAGAAACAGGAGTAAAATGCTTCAAAGGTGAAGGAGCTCACCTCAACTTATCTTCCTGACTTCAGGTCCATCCCTTTCTCATGATCTTCTTAGGGAAGAAAGTCTATAGAGAATGTGAAGAGTTCATGTATTGTTCCTTCAATCACTTCTATTCCTCCTCCAGTGCTGATTTTTTCAGGAACATTGCTGGACTTTGTCCCTAGTTTTAGGATTAGCCTGGAATATTACTGTAGTAGAAGTTGGAATATTCTGCTTTGGTTTTTCTCTTGGTATTTAGATGTTATCTGCATCAATTCATTGGGTGTTTGGGCAATGTTTATTCACGCAACAATGACTGGAAAAAGAAATCGAGCCCTGGTTCCTTGCTTCCTTCTTATTTTTAGTTTGAAAGGATGATAAGTACCCTGGTAAGAAGAAAGTTCTTGTTTCACTGATTTTGTCAGATAGAAAAAGGCTTTCATATCTGATTTTTTCCAAAGTTGAGCCAGAGCATAAGACTTCAGGAAAGATCATATTATTGAGGATAATTTGTGCCATCATATTTTATAAAATAGAGATAGGAATATGTCCATAAAAAATTGTAAAGTAGACATCACATTTCAATTCAAAATAAATACGTACAGAAGAGAAAAATGTGAAGCTTTTTATGTTTCAAAGGCAGCACAAGAGCTAATCTGGCAAGGGCTGAGGGTAGACACGAGGACTCTGGCGTGTGAACTTACTTCTTAAATCCAATCTCTAGTTTAGCTGTTGGTTGAATATAAAGAAGTGAAGGATTGAGATATTAGCTTTATCTACAGGGTAATTCATATCAAGGAGTTTGGAGGTTAGGAAAATACGTCATGCAGAAATTTGCACATTTTTCATCATGTATGTTTCATGTCTTAAATTTTGTGAAGTTTATCTTCTAGGTCACTGAGGTGATTGTATATGGAAGTAATTGGAGATGTGAACATTGTTTTTTGGCAGAAAGATCAGGACTCAAATGTTCTGGAGAACTATGACTTCATTGTGTGACTTTTACAAACTATGTTCTCAGTCTGAACTGCTTATCCAGAAAAGTATAAGAAGGGCCTATTGCATAATTAAAAACTAAAAGGCAATCAATATATTGAACATGCCAAAGAAGTGTTTCAACATCAGCGCGTGCGCACCCCCATCATGTTTCAACAACACTCAGTCTTGGAAGGGTTGAGCTTGAGCCTATTTTTCCCCATCCAGACCGCATGGCCTCCAGGCAGCGGGACATCACATCAAGGGATCATTGGGGTGGTTTGGGGTGGAGATGTACAGCGGGGTGTCATCAGCGTACTGGTGGACTCTCACCCCAAAGCCACGGATGATCTCACCCAGCGGCTTCACATAAATGTTGAACAGAAGGGGCGAGAGGACCGATCCCTGCGGCACCCTCCAAGCGAGGCGCCTTGAGGTCAACCTCTGCCCCCATGCCAACACAAACTGTGAGTGGTCAGAGAGGTAGGAGGAGAACCACCATAACATGGTGCCTCCAATTCCTAATCCCCTCAACCACTGCAGCATGATACCATGGTCAATGGTATCAAAAGCCATTGAGAGATCTAATAGGACCAGGACAGAGGAGCACCCCCAGTCCTGAGCCCTCCAGAGATCATCAACCAACACGACCAATGCCGTTTCTGTGCTGTGCCCCTGCCTGAAGCCCGACTGGTACGGGTCCAGATAGATAGCTTCCTCCAGGTACCGGGGTAGCTGTTGTGCCACCACACTCTTGACAACCTTCGCCACAAAATGAAGGTTGGAGACTGGACAATAATTTACTAATACAGCCGGGTCCAGGGATGGCTTCTTGAGGAGGAGCCTCACCACCGCCTCTTTCAAGGCAGCAGGAAAGGCACCCTCACTCAAGGAAGCATTTATAATCCCCTGGAGCCAGCCTCGTGTAACCTCCCGGGAGGCCAGTACCAACCAGGAGGGACACGGGTCCAGTAAACATGTGGCAGCACTAAGCCTACCCAGAATCCTGTCCACGTCCTCAGGAGCCATGGGATCAAACTCTTCCCAGATAATATTCTCAAGACTCACCCCTGTCTCCCTCCCTGGACTCATCCAGTTGGAGTCCAAGCCTTCCCGAATCTGAGTGACTTTATCATGCAGGAACTGCACAAAATCCTCAGTTCGACCCTGCAAGGGATCTTCCCACACTCCCATCGAAAGGAGGGAGTGGGTCACCCTAAACAGAGCAGCTGGGCGGTTCTCTGCAGATGCGATAAGAGTAGAAAAATAGTTAGATTTTTATTGCCAATAGGTAGGTCTTGATATAAGATCTCACCTGTGTCCGGTCAGATTAGGATTGACTAGTCCTCCAAACACTCTCTAGGCATCTTTTCCAACGCTTCATCTCCCTCAGCTCCTCGAAGAACCAAGGAGCCGGTTGAGGTCGGCATCAGGTCAGAGGCTGCAAAGGCATGATGCGGTCCAAAGCCCCTGTGGCTGCACTATCCCAGGCGGCCACCAGGTCTTCAGTCGAGTTGTGTGCCAGAGTCTCCGGAAACGGCCCAAGCTCCATCTGAAACCTTTCGGGATCCATCAGGTGCCTGGGATGGAACCATCTAGTCGGTTCTGTCTCCCTGTGGCAGGGAGAAGCAGCTTGAAAGTCTAAGTGAAGGAGCGAATGATCTGTCCATGACAAGGGTTTAATGTCTAGGTCCCCTCTACCAAGATCATTCAGCCACTGACCAGAGATGAAAATCAAGTCCAGAGTTGTCCCCCTGTGTGAGTGGGGCCTTGCACTAATTGGGTCAGGTCCATGGCCATCATGGAAACCATGAACTCCCGAGCCACCTCTGACATCTCACCGATGGATGGCAGGTTGAAGTCCCCCATAACAATAAGTCTGGGGGTATCAACCGCCACCCTGGCTATCACGTTGAGTAGCTCAGGCAGAGTCGCTTCAAGTGGCAGGGAGCCAGGTACATAGTCAGCAAACCCATCTGCACCCCATGACCCCACTTCACAAAAAGAGACTCACATCTGGCTATCTGAGGAACAGTGGCCTCCCTCAGACAAAGACTTTCTCTAATAGTTGCCGCTACTCCCCCACCCCTCCCCTGAGCCCTCGGCTGATGAAATGCACAGAAGCCTGGAGGGCACATTTCAACGAGGGGAACCCCCCCTCCTGGCCTAACCAGGTCTCTGTAATCCCAGCCAGGTCTGCACCCCCCTCCATAATAAGATCACAAATGAGGGGGGCTTTATTAATTACTGACCTGGCATTACATAACATCAGTCAAGGACCCAGGGCCTGAGACTCTGTGCAATCCAGGACACGAACCACGCTATGGGGGCCGGAGTGCGCAATTGCTCGAAGACAGCGCGTGCGCATCTCCACTCACCCCCACTCATGCCCTCGTCACCTCCCGTCTGGACTACTGTAATGTTCTGTACATGGGGCTCCCCTTGAAGAGCACTCGGAGGCTCCAACTGGTCCAGAATGCGGCCGTGCGGGTGGTTATGGGCGCACCTCGTTATGCCCATGTAACACCTTTCCTGCGCAAGCTGCACTGGCTCCCAGTGGTCTTCCGAGTGCAATTCAAGGTGTTGGTTACCACCTTTAAAACGCTCCATGGCATAGGACCAGGATATCTACGGGACTGCCTTCTGCCACCAAAAGCCTCCCACCGACCAGTTCGCTCCCCCAGAGAGGTACTCCTCAGGGTGCCATCGGCCAAGTTATGCTGGCTGGCGACACCCAGGAGGCTCTCCTCTGCCCTTTGGAATGAATTGCCCCCGGATATTCGTAACATCTCTGATCTCCAAGTCTTTCGCTGTGCCCTCAAGACCCTACTGTTCCGACAGGCGGGGCTGTCTAATTGAATGATTTTAAATTGGGTTTTAACTTTGGGTTTTAAAATTCGGCCAAAACTATTTAATGATTTTAATTAATTTTAACAATGATATTGTATTTTATGTTTTTAATTTTGGCTGTACACCACCCTGAGTCCTTTGGGAGGAGGGCGGTATATAAATAAAATTATTATTTATTGGTTAATCTTTAGTGAGATTCACAGCCTTTGAGGCTGGTTAATAGCTCAGCAGCTCGAGTCCTAACCAAGGACCTAGGAACTGTTAAGGTATCGTCGGAGGATGTAAGCTGTTCCGAGTAAGGTGGTTTTTTGTAGAGTCAAAATGTTCAAGTCCGGCAAATTTAGAATTTCTAAATAGCGGGGTAGCCCTTTGGGTATTGCTCCAAGGGCTCCAATTACAATCGGGACAACACACGATTTCTTTTTCCACAGTCGCTCAACTTCAATTTGTAAGTCCCGGTACTTTGTGAGTTTTTCTTGCTGCTTATCTTCAATTCGTGCATCACCAGGTATTGCAATGTCAATGAACCATACTTTTTTCTTTTCAACTATTGTTATGTCAGGTGTGTTGTGGACCAAGTGCCTGTCAGTCTGAATCCTGAAGTCCCACAAGATCTTGAGTTTCTCATTCTCTAAAACTTTCTCAACCTGATGTTCCCAGTGGTTTTTGCTGTACTCAAATCCAAACTTCTGGCACAATTATTATTATTATTATTATTATTATTATTATTATTATTATTTCAAATCCGAGGTATAATTGCTTTGAAACTCATTGGATTTGGTACTCAATACATTTTGATGTGAAATTTTTTCCCCAGTACTCATCATTTATTTGGTACTCATCTTGGCACAAGCTAGAACTTGTCATTGCCAGCTGCCTTGTGACTTACTACATTATTCCTTATGGGAAAAAAATGTTTGGTACTTATCATTTTTAATACTTATCTTGCCTCTTGGAGCCAATTAATGATGTGTACCAAGGTACCACTATATTGTCAATGATATTAGTCTGAATGGAAATCAGTTGCTGTGGAATTTAGTTTGTATGTAAATCCTTCCTGAGAAATGAATCCTGCTGTATTCAGACCAGTTTGCTCTGTAATAATTATGTTCAAGATTGCTCTCTTAAGCAGATCTTCACATAGCAACATATCTCTTAAAAATGCAGTCACACTGAGTCTTCCTGAAGAATCGGTATATGTCCCCAACTGGATTTTATTTCTTTCCTCTATCACAAATTGCCATTTGCAAATAAATTATGTTATGTTATATTACATTTCTCTGCAGTTTTGTTTTTCATTTTGTAGGAATTTATTCCTATAGATAAGAATTCAGAAATGTGATCCATCAGTTGTAGCCCAGAGTACAACCCTACTCCTACAAAGTTGAAAAATCTGTGGCCATCTAGACAACTGGTAAAGTATAACTCCCAAAATTCCGCGTACTAGTCATGATATGTGAAATTTGAGTGGTATAAATGACTGGTTGTTAAGCAAGGACTACCTGCATAAACAGTCTGAAAAAAAATTGATATTTTCTATGTGCTCGTGAGAAGCACATGTAGTAGAAAAATCAGTCCAACACATAAATTCTGCCACTGGTTATTCTGAGCATTGCTTCAATATATCTATGAGATAGGGGAAGATATGACTGGTTAGCAGTCTCAGTGATAGCAATGAAGTAAGTCTAAAGATCTGGGGCTTGTTTCCTTTGATACAAGGGTTATAGCCTCTGCAAATGATACCCAAATTCTTTTTAGATGCTTACCTTCTTTTTTAATACATATTAGTT